TGTGTGTGTGTGTGTGTGTGTGTGTACAACATCTTTTTCATTCATCTGTCAATGGACATCTTGGCTCTTTCCAGAGTTTGGCTGTTGTGGACAAGCAAACCCCTCTTTGTAGTGTTGGACACATTAAAATAGAATTCATCCATCAGGCAGAAGACCCTCTATCCTGGAAATTTAGTAAAATGTGATTGGGCTGTGCTTGTCTCCATCCCCTGGCATTCTATCTCAGAGGGTCCTGTGGGTCTTGAGCTCTTTGCCCCCTGTGAGCCAGACTTCTGTTCTCAGCATCCAGAAAGCTCACCTTCTATCACTGTAGACCTCCCTCCTTTCCCCTATAGAGGTGGAGAGGGAGATCTCCGAACCATCCCTCAGGACACCCAGATTCCTCTGAAAAGGCAGACTGATGCCCCCTGATTCCATGATGTTCCCTTTTCTTTCTAGCTCTGAAAGATACCAATAAGAGATCCATCAACAGCGACTGGAAGATAGAGCTCCCCGGAGAGTACCAGATTGCAGGCACGACCGTGCGCTATGTTAGAAGGGGCCTGTGGGAGAAGATTTCTGCCAAGGGACCAACCAAGATACCACTGCATCTGATGGTAACTTGCCATGCTCTTGCCTTTGTCCCGAGCCTGAGGCTCCAAGGGATCTTGCCAGTTCCCTTCTTCCCGGGGGTGCTGGGGAGAGGAGCTTGACTGGTTCCTGGGTGGGTTCCCTGGCCACCTGCTTCTCAAGTCTCCCTCTTGGTCTTTTCTTATCTCATCCCTTTCGCCACATGCCTGAGAATTTTCCCCTCCCCAGACTTGGCCCTGGGTCTTCACTGGCAGAGCTCCCATCTTTCTCAAAAGGAACTGCCTCCAGGAAGGAAATACTGGGCCCTGTGACAGCCAGGGAGACTTGGCCCCATGGAGCAGACAGCCCCGCTCAGAGTCTCTGTTTTTATATCAGATGGCACAGGTCTGCCCCATAGTTGGTGTATCCACACTGGAAACTACCTTTTGGAAATGAACTGTTGACTCCGAGTTTCCAAACCAGCATCACTCAGATTGTCCAGACTCGGCTCTGCATCAGGCGTTCGGGAACCAGGAGAGGGAGAACCGGGTTCTACAGGAAGGTTGACTCCCGGTGTAGTCCCACGGATCCCAGGCAGTCAGGCTGGGTTGGGGGCTACCTTGTCTTGCCCATTGTCTCAAGGTGGGGGGAACCCCATGCAAACCACTTGAACATCGGTGAGGCGTCCTTTTAAGAGTACTAAAGATCTCCAGAGAAAGGAATCCCACCGTTTTCTTCTTAAGGTCCGGGAGTTCCCATGGCTCACTTCTGATTGCTTGGAATTATTGATTCCATGTCTTGTTCCAAAGCACGGGTTCCGTGGCCGTTTGTGCGTCTGTAACCAAAGCACATTTTGTCCTCTGTGCTTCCAGAGTCTCCGCTTGGAAATGTTGTTTTTCTCCATTAATTTGTGGTCTCTGGCAACCTGCGGCCGTTCAAGGTTAGGTGACACCCAGAAGAGTCGCCGGCCACCTCTCAGGGAGTCTCCTGAGGAGACCGGCTCTGCCGGGACAGGCTCACCCATGACAGCCCTGCCCCCGCCACACGAGGAGAGAGCAAAGGGAGCTGGTTTCTGTGCCTAGCTTCAGCGATCCAGAAACTTGTGACTGCCACACTCAGCCTACTAAATCCACGGCTACATGTCCTAGTCTAAGGCATTAGAACAAATCCTCCTGTCCTGATTTAAAAGGGGTTACAAGAGGAAGCATAAGACAAGATAAAAAAAAAAAAAAAAAAGATCAAACCATGCAGCCGTGTCACCTGTTAGTGCGTGAATTGGCTTTCTCTAGCAAACCCTAGGATGGGTGTATTTCCCTCTCTTGCCCAAAGCTTTCATAAACTGTGAAGGAATCGTCAGCGCATTAAAGCAAATGCACGGCCCGGATTCATTCAGACCATGCCTGATACGCTAAACTCAGCCGAAGTCCCAGCCCTCTTTAATATTAATCACTTTTCTCTCTTGAAATATGATTAGTTCAAGTTTTTAAACCTCGAAATGAGAGGTGCCCCTCCGCCTCTACATGGGCGTCCATTATCCCCAAACTGGGGTGCGTACATTGCTTGCAGGGTCAGGAGCACGCACAGAGCCACGGAGACCTGCATTTGAAACCAATTACACACTCACACACGCAAATTATACGTGGCTGCAAAATTGCATGAAATTGGTTTCATGTGGATTCTTGATGCACCAGTCTTATTCCCATACTGAGATAATAAAGATCTTTTTAAAGAGGGTTTTGTTTTGTTTTTTTTTAAACTGGAGGCATTTTTCCAAATGCATTACTGCAAGTCTGTTTCTTGGAGAAGTGGATGTTTATGCGGTTCAGCCTGCTCTTAGCACCTCACCTCCACCTTGCAACTCAAGCCCTTGGAGGGCTGAGAGATTCTTGTGGGCAGCATGGGGGCCTCCCCAGGTCAGGGCAGGTGGAACACACTCTTCCAGGCCTGGAAGTGAACTTGATCACAGCCTTGACCCAGGAGTGCCCACTGGTTCCAAGTCTAGCCTAAAGACCCATCACCTCCAGCCAGGCTCCCCCCAGAGGGCTTGTTTTGCACAATTACACGTGGAAAAATAATACTGGTAGAGTGTCTCTGTCCTTATAGGGCTTGTACATGGATTGCCAAACAAAGGGCAGACGCATCCATCTGCTCACTCACCAGGATTTCAGACCCAAGCGTCCCCAAGCTGCAGGATGGCTCCCCACCCTCTCTCTCACTCTAGATTTAAGCCTTGAGCCATGCCCCTGCCACCCTGTGGGCATCACCATCTTAGCTCCTGTGGCGGCAAGAAGGCTCAGGCACCCCTGGACTCCTCAGCAGAAGTCCCCAAGATTCCTGTGCGGTGGGGCTGTGTTTACCCGGGAGCCTGCCTTACATGTAGCAAGGGCTGGTGCTTGGGGACTGAAGAGTGATGTCCATTTTCAAAGGAGTAGAGTAACCCTACCTGTTCATTTGTCTTTTTAGGTCAAAGCCGCATATTTGTGTCTTTCTTGCCTGCAAGGGCAGCTTTGTGGCTGAGGATGTGGGATGGGTTCTTTGCGCTGTGGGGAGCAGCTCTCCCTGTGAAGTGCCACCTGAGAGCCCACAGACCTGCTCCTCCCCAAAGTCCTCATCTAAACTAGTCCTTTCTCCAGTGAGAGAGAGCAGAGCTCCCTGCTGAGGGTCCGCATACACTCCTGCCCCTGAGTTGAGTCTCTGAGGAACCCGAGACTGAAATAAGGGAGCGCCCCTAGACCAAACCCCTCTTGAAACCCAGAAAAGACCTGGTTACCCCAGTAGGGAGACGGCCACAGTGTGGCTTAGTTTGCAAATTCAGCAAGCCTGTGGGCTTCTGCTCCATTTCAAAACAACCTTTGATTTTTACTGCTGATCCAGGTGCTGTTATTTCATGACCAAAATTATGGAATCCATTACGAGTACACCGTTCCTGTCAACTACACTGCGGAAAATCAGAGTGAACCCGAAAAGCCCCAGGACTCTTTGTTCATCTGGACCCACAGCGGCTGGGAAGGGTGCAGCGTGCAGTGTGGAGGAGGTGAGCAGCCGGGCTCGCGGGCCCGTTGGGTGTGGGGTCTTGCTGAAGGAAGGCACGAACTCGGGGCACCCTGTGGCCGGCACACAGGGCATGAGAAAGGCTGGCCATGTCACCTGTGTTTCCACGGGAACTTACCCAGGTCCCACCACAATTCTCTCTGCAAGACACTCGCGCAGTCCTCCATACTCCTGTGCTCACACAGCTGCTTTGCCTATGGTTCAGGGCCCTCGGACTCTGCCCTGAGTGGAGGTTTGGCCCCTGTTCCTGTACATCGCAGGTAGGACAGGTGAGTGACCCTGGGGATGAGCAGAATACACCTTCCCCTGTTCCCGTTCAGTGGAGGACCCCCAGATTTTTTGCTCCCAAATTCTCTTTCCTGTTTGCCACAGGTACCCCACTACAGGACGCAGTGGAAAGACAAGGCCCCACGAGGCCGGGGAAACATTCCGAGCATGAGTCCTGGCTTTGTGATTTGCCGCCATATTTTAGCAAATGACTTACCCTGTCTATACTAGAATTTCCTCAACTCTGAAATAGAGTGATCCGCCCCTATGCCCACTGCAGGGAAGAGACTGCCACTCTAAAAGTCTGTATCAGCAAAAAGCACTGTATTCGTTACGGGGAGGTTTAGGGAGAGCAGGAGGAAGCCATTCTCAACTCTTAGCGAGAAGCCCTTTTGTACTTTTCACCCTGACGGGACACAAAGCCAGGTCGTGGGAGGCGGGACACGGGTTGGGTGGGTTTTGATGGACACAGAGTTAGGCTGGAAGGTTCACCTGGACTCTGGAATGCCAAGCCAGAGTGTCGCATGGCCCCACGAATACCCATTCCTGCGTGGTCGTTGACCACCGAGATGATGTCTGTCAGATATCCAAAACGTAGAGGTTCGTTTTCCATTTAAGCAACTTGTCCCGTTTCTCATGGGTAAGAATTACAGCTCTAACATGATTGGGCCATCAGACACTGCCCGAGTCAACTGTGAATTCCCTCCCTCTTCCGCACATCTTGGCTCACTGTCCTCGCTGCTTGTCCTCAGCCTGTTCCTAAAGCATCCCTGGCCGTTGGCATAGCCTCAGGATCCTCCATCAGCCCTGTCCCTATCCCGCTTTGCACTGCTCCCCTGTCCGTCAGCTGTCCCCCTGTGCCTGTGGCCCCCCAGCCTCCAAAGGCAGCACCTCCCATATCCCCAACTGCCAGACTTTTCCTCCTGGGCGACTTACAAACTAAGCATGTCCCAAAATGGAGCCATTAACAGGCTCCCTTCGGCTGCGGGCCTGGGGAGTGCCATTCCACTGGTGTCACTGTCGGCCCAGTGGCATTCCTGTGTGACACCAATGACTCCCAGGTTGTCAGATGACAACCGATGACTCACCATTGTCAGACCTGCAGCCAAAGCTGAACTGTGGCTTGAAGTGGCCCTGTGCTTCTTACACGCACACAAGGCTGCAACCGCAGCCAGTAAGAGCTGTTGGTATCGTTCGGGACTCCACACTCTCGAGGCATGCCTAAAGGACAAATTCTCCAGGAGGCAGACTGAGCGAGGAATCTGGGGTCCAAAGAATTATGCCTGACATCCTCTTAATCTTGGTATTGCCACACTTCCCAAAATAATCATAAAAACAGAATATAGCTAATATGAAGTGTTAACCCCGACTAGGCTCTGTTCTAAACACTCTCTGTGTACCAATTAATTTTAACTGTCCCTGAAGCACCCTAAGTCACAGGGAGGTTGAGGAAACTGAGGCACAGAATCATGGCAGCTAGCTGTCGATCCTGTGGTCATTATGCCAGTCATGAAACCAAGTTTGAAGCCAGCCAGCCTGGCTCCAGAAGCCACCCTCTCTAGCTCCCAATCATCCGCCTCCCTGGCAAAGTCAGGACCAAGCAGTGTGTAGGGTGCTCTGGGGACACACAGAGGATGGCTACCCCATCTAGGGTAACCAGTTAGTGAAGTCCCCAAATGCAGGCGATGCTGAGGACGTGTAGCCTTTGGCCAGCTAAACAAATTCTCAGACTGGCTCTAGATTGCCCACCTGGAGGAGGCAGGTCTGTGTGTCCTTTAGACCAACCTTCCTACTTCTCACTTCTGTCCAGCAATTCTGGAGGGATTCTCTAATAAGTAGCTATGATCTCTGGTGAGGACTGATGTACAGGTATTTATTCAAGACCAGACCTCCATAGACATTAAATATCAAAAGAACAGATAAAGAGATTGGCAATCTTTGTTGGAAATTAAAGACCCAAATCAGAACTTTGGCCTCCGTGAATCCCAAGCTGTCCAAGAACATAGCCAATCTGCGGTGTTGCCTTTTTCCAATCCTGTTCCAGAATCTTCCTCCTGGCCCATGCTGCCCCTGCCATGTCTTACACACCCTCATCCCTAACATTATGGCTCTTTCTGTCTAACAACCAATAAAGCATAATAACAGTCACTTCACATGACGAACTGGTCAAAAGATGCCCCCGAATGCTCCTCCATCTGCATCCATGGATGGCCTTTCCAGGTGTGTGTAGCCACAAGCTGCTCAGTTCCCTGTGGTTTGGCTTCCAGGGGAACGCAGAACCATCGTGTCCTGCACGCGGATTGTTAATAAGACCACGACTCTGGTGAATGACAGTGACTGTCCTCAAGCAAGCCGCCCGGAGCCCCAGGTCCGAAGGTGCAACTCACATCCGTGCCAATCGCGGTAAGGAGCTGTGTTCTCAATCTTGGACCCCCCAGGGTCAGGACAAAAACATCCATGCGTGGGGTTGGCGGGCATGGAGGCAGTACAACTGCACCATGTTCTGTTGTTGTTGCTAAGTCATTTCTGCTTGCTCGAAATACTGAATTTCTGGCTATGAAGTCAGAGCTCTGAAAAAATGTATAATCCTAGCTTAGAAGGCATTTTTTAGCAGGCCCCTAAGAACATCTCATGGAGAACAAAATCATTGCATACTTTCAACTGATCTATGTTGGCTCCCCTAAGTTATTTTGTCTTGGAAAAAAAGGAAATCACAGAGTGTGAGCACCCATGAGTAAGTCACACAGGTTAGTGTTTGTGATGGGTCTGTTTCGGCGGCTGAAACTTATACCAGTGAGTGTGGATCTTGGTGTTCATTGCATAGAATCCGTCAGAACTTCTGATGGATTCCATGGCCATAATATTTCACATGCTCTGAAGTGGATTTTCTTGGGCTGTCAACCGAGATGAATTGTGTGAAATGTGCTCATCAGTTAAGCTTTCTTATTCCGGTCATTTCAGTGAGACTTCGTATCGTACTGTGGTTGGTAAAGTGTGTAATATCACCCCTGGCCTCCTATTCTGCTCTGGGTTGAGGTGCATGGTTTTTGTTTTGTGGTTCTGTGCATGTTTTTCTTCTATAAAGAAGCTGGACTTTTGACATGGCCATTCTTTAAGCTCAACTTGGGCCTCTTGCCTGGTGCAAAAGTTTCACAAAGCATGTGGCTTTCGTGCCAACCCACTTCGCTTTGTCAAACTGGTCAAGTGTGCGAGTAAGAGAGGGAAGATAGGAGGGAAAGCAACAGGTGAGACTTACTTCATTGGTTGTGTGTGGTCCTTAGCAAACTAAGAATGAAGGTGGGTGGGAGGGCAGGTGAAATGTGAAGGGGATTAAGAGGCATGAACTTCGAGTTACAAAATAAGTAAGTCATGGAGATGAAAGGGACAGTATAGAGAATATAGTCAGTAAGATGGAAGCAGTGTTGTCTGGTGACCGAAGGTGAATATACTTACTGTGGGGAGCATTGGGTAATATATAAAAGTACGGAATCATTATGTTGTACATGTGAAACTAATATAATGCTGTATATTAGTTATACTTCAATTTAAACAAAAGAATGACATTCTACCCTAACCCTGAAGGCCATGAGGAACAATTCACTTTGGGAAGTCTTCTTGAGCATCTTGGCTCTGAGCAGCCATCCCACAGACTAATCAATTGATGACACACACCGAGAGTCAAAGAAGGAAGGCCTTGCCACTATGATGACCCAAAGATCTGACAGTCCACAGAGACAGCTCAGCTCTGTGACCAACTAGAAAGTAGGATAAGTAAATCTAGAAGAGGGGGGGTCAACATGGGCTCAAGGGCATGACTGAGCAAGAAAGATCTTAGGGATCCCTTCAAGAATCATATTTTAAGATCATTTATGATTTCAAACTATTTTAGTGTCCAAAGATATCTTAAATTATGCACATAAACCAAATAACATTAAACATGAAATCAGAGTTGCTCTGATTGAATTGAGACACATATGTGATGTGGAAGAGTAGCCCAGCACATTCTGCCCTCCCTCATATCACAGTAGGCCCAAGGAATGGACCAAGGAATAAAGTTTAAAGACTGTTAGGGACTCTGCTTTCCATAATGATGGGGTTGCTTTTATTGGACCAACCCTCAGTAGTCTTCACAATGATACTCTTAATTGTGCTGATCACATACTGTATTTGGTAGCCACTAGCTAGTCCAAATTGAGATGTGCTGTAAAAGTAAAAATATACACCTGATTTCAAAGACTTAGTATGGAGAGAGATTGTAAAATATCTCTGTAAAATATAAAAAAATAGTAATTTTTAATACTGACTACATGTTGAAATAATTATGCCTTGGACACACTGGGTCAAATGCAACACATTACTACAATTAAATTCACCAGTTTCCTTTTATTTTTTATTTTTAAAGATTTTTTTTAAATTTATTTATTTGACAGGGAGAGAGACAGCAAGAGAGGGAACACAGGCAGGGGGAATGGGAGAGGGAGAAGTAGGCTTCCCGTAGAGCAGGGAGCCTGATGTGGGGCTCGATCCCAGGACCCTGGGATCATGACCCGCGCCAAAGGTAGACACTTAATGACTGAGCCACCCAGGTACCCCTCCTTTTAATTTTTTGATATGGGTAGTAGAAAATTAAAATTACATATATGGCTGATGTCTTAATTCTATTGAATGGCACTGATATAGATTAACATAGCATTCACAATGTTCAGGATACAGTCCAAAATGATCAGACATAGAAAAAAAAAATCAGAGAAATGTGATCATTAATGACTCCAAGATTACACATATGTTGAGATTAGCGGACAAGGATTTTGAAGCAGCTGTTATAATTATGCTCAAAGACATAAGAAAAAAGATAGTGACAATCAATGAACACATAGGAAATTTAAGCACAAAAAGGAGACACTCTAAAAATGAACCAAATTTTAGGACCAAGAAACACAGTATCTGAATTTTTTAAAAAAAAATCACTTTGATGGGCGTAACAGCAGATGAAGAAAAAAAGATCAACAAATTTGAAGGTAGAAGAATAGAAATTATCCAGCCTGGAAAACGGAAAGAAAAGATTGTTGACAATGACAGAGACTCAGTGATCTGTGGGATAATATCAGGCATTCTAACATAAGAGTAATTAGAGTCAGAGAAGGGGAGGAGGGGAAAGATAGAAAAGAAAATAATCAGAGACAATGACCAAACATGTCCCAGGTTTAGTGAAAGACAGAAGAGAGGTAATTAAGTTGCTTCTTGAGTCTTTCAACTAGATTCCAGATTAACTCAAAACTCCGTAACAAAGCTCTCTCACCATTACACCAGTAGGCCAAAGCAGCACCTTTATGATTTTGCCACACAGATATTCTAGGAGGGGACTTCACTGTGCTATAAAACTCTACACAGAAAATCTAGTAGGAAAACACCTACGAAAAAGTCACATCACCCAGCGTGAGTTAACAAAGATACCCACCCTTTAAAACAGTGCTACAGAGCTGCTCTAAGCTTGGATGAAGCATATCAAGTGTGTGTGTCTGAATAGGTGTGGCTCCAGATTGCTCACAGAACATTCTGACAGACCACAGGCCTGCAGTCTTGCCATGGTTGAACACAAGTATAAGCCAAACACACTTTAGACTAAAAGTAAGCTCAGAACCACATGCTTAGTATCTCCTTAGAATAAGGGTCAGCAAACTTTTTCTGTAAAGAGCTAGATAATAAGTATTTTGGGTTTTTACAGGCCACATATGGTTTCTGATGTCTGGTTTTCTTTGTTTTGTTTACAACCCTTTTAAAAATGTAAAAACCATTTTTAACTCCTGGGTTATACAGAAACAGTCTACAGACCAGACTTGGCCCAGGAGCAATAACTTGCTGGCCCTGCCTTAGATTATTACATACCCTTGCCTTGCCCTCTGAGATGTTGGGACCACAACCTCAGCATGAGCCCAAGCTCTGAAGATACTACCTCGGGAAATACACTTTCTTCTTATACAAAGAAGGACATGTCGTTTTGCTGAGTTACTCTGTATTGCCCACTTGTTCGGTACTCTTTTTAAAAGCATCCAGCATGACCCTAAGCATACAGTACAACATCAGTAATTTCCTTCATCCAGCATGCACCTGTCGAGCACCTTCCCATTCACCAGGCCCTGTTCTAGGTACCAAGGTGAAAAAGACACACAGGGTCTTTGCTCTCATGGAACTTGATAAATACTAAATTTCTCCCTTCCCCCCTTTCTGGGTCATTCTTTTTTCCTTCCTGACCCACTTCTTTCTATTCCCTTCCTGACTCCGTAAAATCATACAAATCAGACTTAAAGAATGAGTGGAATTTCCCAAGGCAGAGGATAAAATGAAATTGATAGAAGATGGTACCTGAAATTTGTCTCAGAGCCTAGAAAAGAAATGCTTAGTTGCCTCCTCTAGTCATTTGTTGGTTGTTTAGTTGTTTATTTTGAACCATCTGACTTCATACTGTTTCTTAAAGAGGACCCATAAGAATGAAGTGTCATGGCTCATCAAAGAGTATTTATTGCTTGGCTGAAGAAATGTGTCATCTGATAGATTTTAAAACTCCTGCAACTCTTATATTTATTTATATTCAAACACAGATGCACACATACACGTATGTATATACACACATACATATACAATATATATGTATATGTTATATAAAGATATATATATATGAATATATATATATACACACACATATATTTGAACAATAAAACTTGAATTATTGCAGAGCAAGATCTAGTTGACCTGAGTCTTTCTTCAGAACATCTAGTAATATGGACTTAGGCTGATAAATGAAGGAAGGTGAGGAGATTGGCCTCAGAAAATTACTGCTAGATAATCAGATTTCATCTACAAGTAAAAACTCAACCTTGATAAAGGGGGTGGGTGTGGAGATGTGTAGGGTCTGGAAAAGAAATGACTGCTTCAAGTGGGGTGGGCATGCCTGGAAGACAGAGCCTGGAAGCTGGAAGGAGAGCACAAGAACCCAATGGTGTAAATTTTATTGAAGAAGCCAAAATGCAACTCACTGTTGAATCTGGCAAGGTGAAAGAGCCTTTCTATATTATTGTTACTCTTTGACCTTTAAAACAACAGTGATGTTTGTCTTTTCCCTTATATTTTTCTTTATTTCCTCTGATCTCCTTTTCATTTTCTTCAACCTTCTTTTTCCATCAAGTTCCCGACAGTTTCCTTTACCTTCCCAACTGCACACCATTAGCACCTCTTTATTCTAATCCTGCCCCTAGCTCTGTGGATACTTCTCCCAAACCCTGCCATAACCATATGGAATCTGGAATCTGACACGCAGGGCAGATGGCCTCTCTCCAGCATCTTGCACACCAATACAAACACATCGGCGAACCTGGCCCCCGACATTGGCAGGAGAGGCAGAAATC